GTTTTTCCTGCAGCGGGTGTGCTTGTTGTCAATGATGTTAGAACTCGTTTGAAGGAATTTCAAGTATTGTTTGTGCAACTCTGTGCGGAATAAAGTCTTTGCGGCAATGATAACTTCTTCTGGCAGCAAATTTTATAGATCTTCTTCGAACATTGAAAAGGAATTCATGGAGCCCCTGAAGATTGTCGAAGCAGCATAGGCAATGACTGGTCGAATGCAAAAAAAACAAATAATTCGATAGCTTCCTTAAATTCGTGCGATCCTCTGAATATCAAAGCATTAAAAACTGACTTGTAGCATTTACCGATATTAGATTAACGTGCTCCTGTCATGAATAGTCAGAACTTAGAATGGCCCATTAGTACTCTTTGTTGTTAGTAACGGAAACAATTCTTAGCATAACAGCAGCGTAAATTGCCTCGTGTGTTTCATCACGTATATGTATTCAGCGCTTTTAGTGTATTTAAGATTAAGCCATCAGAAATAATGTAATGATGCATGCGTGTGACGGAGCACGAGTATTGATCCCAGTCTTCCAATGATGTCAAAAGTCCAATCATTGCCTTGTAATCAGAATATTTGATGCATCAAAACGACGGAATAATTTAGTAGTCACTAGCATACAGGGCGGAACTTTGAACAATTCCTATGTTGCTTCCTACAGGCGCCGACATTTTCTTGCCAGTATTATCGTACTATACTGATAACGACGTGAAAAATAGTCAGGCACCCATCGACTTACCCAGCATTTGGAAGTTATTGTTCCGAGCTACTTAAATATGCTGTTAATGTCAAGAAATAAGGACATCATAACGTATCCACTATTGTTTTGTTCCGGTGCATTACGTCACTTTTTCTCCTTTCAAATCAGATTTCTTATTTAAATTTCGGCGCATGTGTTGTGACTGATAAAATCTATTCCCGTTTGGCATTTTCTTAAATATATCAAATTAATCGCAACATCCTGGATTTCATTCCGTTGATTATGGCGATTAGGGAAAAATATTCTGCCATTTTCTCAATGGTACACCAACCAGCTTGAAGGTTTGAATGTTTGACCGAGAGTTATGCACACGAGACAAACTAAATGCAGGCGATAAATTTAAATCACTGACTTCCCGTTTTTCTGCATGTCACTTGATGGAGTGAAATTAATTGAAATTGTAATCTAAATTAAAATTAATTTAGCGCCAGTTCTGAAGTAGCAAAACCTGACTTCTGTTTCAAATAGATATGCAAAATGATACAAGTCTTATACCCTGATCCAGCCACTGAATCGACATTCTTTCAAAAACACTTTTTTGATAAATTTAACATTAATGAATTCATTTTTGAAGTTCGGTTCAGCTGTTATGGACTGAAACGCGCCACTATGATAATTGCTTAACTCAACAAACGCAATTTTAATTTCGGTACTCCATTACCTGTTTTCATACCATAATTTCTTTACCTGTTTTCATACCATACCATAATTTCAGTACTCCATTATAATGCTGCCTGACCTTTTTATATTGAATGGGCAACTGGTTTCGAGTTGGTTTGACGAGGTTTTGTAGAGTGAAAAAATTTATGATGGAAATTACCAGTTAGCATAAAAATCCTGATCAGGACGAGAGATTGACTGCTTTACTATATCATCGTGATTCTATGTGGTCGATAAGTAACGTGGTGTAATTACGTTATTACAGTAATTTAACACGAAGTCGCTTGCTATACGTTATAATTCGCTACGAAATCTACTGCTTATCAATTGTATACTGATTGTTGTTTGTTGAGCCGTTGCAGCTCACGTAGTTGAGATTTTGACCATGGCAGAAGCAGCAAATATGGAATCCCAAACGTTGACAGAACCAACAGAACCGCTGGCTGAAACGGCTCCTGTTAACGGAGACGAGCCAAGTGCGGCGGAAGAAGTTGTGGATGGCGCTCCCGCTGCCGTCAGTTGCGAGGAAGCGACGACAGAAGATACGGCTGTTGCCAGTGGTGGCGATCCGGAAAACAGCGAACCCTTAAACGAGAGCGAGGATATGCAGAAGCTGAAGGAATTCGGCATTAACGAGAAAGTTTCATCAGCTATCGCAGATGTCCTTGCTACTGGTGAGTCGTATGTCCTCCGGTGGAAGCTTCTGCTTCTATTACGGACTAATATTTCGCGGGCTTTAAATGTCGTACTTAGCAAACTTTGCTCTTTGAGGCTTCAAGGATAGTTTTTGATATTTATGTATTCCTCAAAGGTTTTTGCTGAATTTTCGACTCTGCTGTCCGATGATAAAACTTTCCGCTATAGCAATCTCGAACGAACTTGGAGGCATTTTCTACTATGGGCCGTCTTTAATCAGCATGCGTCACTTCATTCTTTTGGTAACCGTTGAAATGATGTTACTCGTAGCACATTCATAACCGGCAAATAACGAAATTCGAGGATATTTTAAATTCTCTTGTCTTGGAGTGCAGAATGAAAACCAAGTAAAAACAGAGTGAAGCATCTTGTTATTTCTGTTCTCTTCTGCGTAAAACCTCTTGCAAACTTTTCTTTGTTATGGCGATTAGCGCTTCAAACTGAATAATCGCTTTTCATCTCGTCTTAGTTTAGTCATGTGCATTTTTTAGGTGACGAATTTTGAATTTGGTGTAAATAGTTGTCACCAGCAATAGACGTATGTGCAAGAACACTAGTAATTTATTAGGAAAGTTCTAGTTCTCTGAAGGCGAGATCATCCCCTAACGATTACGAAACTACCGATAACTGATATCAGTACGTTCTTTTCCTTGACGCACAGGTGTACAGGAGGGAAAACAGACAGGCGAACTTCGTTATTAAAGGTTAGAGTACAATAATTTTGCTATGTAGCAACATTTTCGAGGTATCACTTGACTAATTTATTGTGTAGTCCAAACATTCTTCAGTGTAACCTAAATGCTTAAAATTCAAGGTGTTTGCATGAAGCCACTTTGCTACCGCGTAACATTATGACGTAAACTTTGGTTGCATATGAAAACAGCAGAAATAGTTAGGTTTGTATTGAATAAGAAATTCAGTAATTTGGCGGTGAACCATAGTTCTGGACCTTTAGTTACAACAACTATTTGTTGATAATATAGTTGACCAAATAAAAGATACTATGCAATTTCTAGTTATTCATTACTGAATCATATGCATTAAGCCTGTTCGTCTATTTGTTAATATTAACGTAATTTTAATATTTGCGATAAGTAGATATATTTCTAATATTATTTCCGGAATATGATCTAAAACCAGTTATTGCCACGCTTCTCATAACGTTTTTGAGGCGTCAGGATGTACATAGAAAATTGTTGTTGGTTTGCAAAGCTTGCGTTTCATTCCGAGTTTTAAATTTCGATTCTTAGGCGTACTCAAGTATGAAGATCTCGAAGAAAGAACGTTAGAACTCATAAAATCTTTGCGCGAGGAACATGGATTGTTCGTCGTTCAACAGTTCAGGGAAGCCAACTTGATGGGTATCCAGAACGTTTCGGCATACCTGGGTTCGCTTGTGAAGAACTTCAAGGAACGGCTACGGCAGATCGGCCCACAGGAGGCCACCACCCGACCACTAGTTACCGGTCCTAACCTCGAAAACATGAAAGTAATTATTGATTTATTCCTATACAAGCTTAAACGGCAACTTACTGTATAGCGCCCTGTGTACACTGTCACCTACAATATAATCAATGGAGTACCTCATTGCGTTAATTTAAACAAACCTTGTTTTCAACTTTGATAGCCTGTGTATATTTTTCTGCGTTTTTAATTAGTATATGTTCATATTTTACGTCTCTTCGATTGATTTAAAGCTGAAGTGCAATTTGTAGAGCTGACTGACAAAGAGCAACAGCAGTAACACGTGAAAGATAACAAGTCTGTCATTGAAAAGAGGGATTTGAAACGTCCCAAAGAAATTTGACGTTTTTGGGATACATGTAAAACAGTAGAAAACCTTACTTTACCAGTTAGTTCCTACTTATTTACGTGATAATTATTTTTCTGATGGGACCTAGTTTCAGCTTTAATTTTTGGCCCTCTTAAACCGAGTGATAAAACTCACTGATTCGATGAGGCTGCGCTCGCCGTAAGTAAAAGTTAAAGAAATCACACATTTTGCTATCTTTGCATACTGTCGTATGTAACGCCGAGGATTTAATTACTTGTTGATGCTTATGATATTACTACTTATTACTACATGCTTAATCAGACGCATTTATGAGGAAAGGTATAAGAAATTAATGCTCTGAATATATTTAACGCAGTTGGACTCGAACCTTGATTAAATAATTCAGTTCATTTCATAAAGATTCAGTTCACTATTTAATTGATGAAATATTTCCCTCACGTCCCCATGCGGCTGTATGCCTTCTATGAGTAGTTGAGGTTTTGATATTCATTGTTTAACACCTTGTATCAGGTTGTACCAGTTCAATGAAGCAATTATTGTTAATCTCAAATTCAGTTGTTTCAGACGGCACTGACGGCAGCAAGTTACAAGTTATGATGAAATGAGCTTAAGGTGTTTTTTATTTCAACTAGTATGAAAGATAAGTCGTCGCACTACTGAAACGTTTTATATACTTTTACTCATTGCTGTCATTTTTTTATACATTAATTTGTTGCCATCTGCTTTCTTTTTCTTATGCGGTCTATCTTTGTTATGGTTTTAAATTAAATAAATAAAGTTAGCGGTTGATACTAATCAGTTAGTAAGCCTTCGAAAAGATTCGCATATTAGTATTTATTTTGCATTTATTTGCAGAAAATATTGGAACAGAGTGGGTATTCGCTGGAAGTAACGATTGGTCAGAGGAAATATGGAGGACCTCCTCCAAACTGGGAAGGCGCAGCTCCGGGTGCTGGCTGCGAGGTATGCCGTTTCCTTCTATCGGCGTTATGTTTCCTAAACTTACTTGCTAAAATTTGTAGGTCTATATCGGAAAGATACCCAAAGATGTCTTTGAAGACGAACTAATTCCTTTGTTCGAACAGTGCGGTCGAATTTGGGATCTGCGCCTTATGATGGACCCTGTCACCGGCAACAACAAAGGCTATGCGTTCGTAACCTACTGTGAAAGAGGCCACGCGGCGGAGGCGGCAAAAAAAGTACGTTTAGTGTTTTAAAGTTGACGCAATTGCTGTTGTTTCGCAGCAGGTACCCGGGGATATTCTCTAGCCGATGCTCAACGATTATACCAGTGCTATTCTATGAGAGCATTTGAAATAGAAAATATTATTATATGACGGAAGCGATTGTCAGTTTTATAAAAAATGTGTGGGTGTACTTGAGGGTATACCAAACGATACATGAAATGCAGACGAAAAATTCGTTTTGCCTTGCCAAGTTTTCAGAAATTTGTATAGGCAGGTGTTTTGCTGTTCGATGTTCAGAGCTCCTGTTCTTGCACACTTTTTCGCTTGAGTCGTGCTTTAACTGTTTATTTTTATGGCACCTTTGTTCGGATTTAGAAACAGTTTTGAAATCGAGGGTTGGGTACTTTTCATATTATTTCTGAGTAAAACATGCCTTTTATGTTATATCGCAGGAAGATTTAGAATTGCGCGAATTGGTGGCGCCTTATGATTATAATATAAGGGTAGCCAACGAAAGACCGTTTCGTTAAGCAGAGATGTCTTCGGCCCACGGCGTGGACAAGGAGAAATTCTAGTAGTTGTACCTTCGCATAGGTGGTAGAGCTTTCACTGTGCTTTGTTATGAACAGAAGTCTGCTTTTCCCCCAATGCTTTAGCCACTTTGCTGCTATTGGGATATTAATATCATATCGGAGCCATAGTTGGCGATCCTTTTTTGCTTCGTGGCGGGTCTTCACGGCTGCAAAGCAGATAAAGAGAACAGTTCTCGTCGTACAGGGCTCCGTCAAACATTGTTTTACTTCGATCTTTGTTCGCTTTCCACGACGAGAATGAGAATATAGATTTCAGGGTACATTGTCCTTATAGGTAGACCAGGTTGAATGAAGCTTGCCTTCATTCAGTAATATGTATCAGGCAAAAATCAGCGAGAAACAGGAGCTCCTATATGCAAGTATAGTTCAAATGATCATCGATGCTTGTCTTAACGTAAAATTCCATATCTATCGATATATATTATGAAATTGTTATGCATGATTTTGATGCATACTTGACTGTTCATTTTACCCACTTGATGTATTGCTTGATGCCGGCCGTTTTTACTTGTCCTTGAAAATGTTTCAAATGATCTGTTCTGGAATTTTGCCAGTTTCACCTTTGAACTGAATCTCACCTGATTCGATCTGATTGACCTGACCCAGATAACATCTATCGGGGCCATTTCGCATCTGCTCCGACTCCGATTGAAGACAACGATGACTTTTCTTGTGGCAGTGAGGAAAATTTCGTTTATTTTTATAAAAGAAAGTTCGTAAAAATTTCGAACTTCGAAAACTAGTGAATTTCAATATTCGTTGTTTTTGTTTCATTTATGCCTTTTCCTTTCAGACAGCCTAAAAAGTTCATTTTCACTCCATTTCTCGATATTATAGTTTGAAGGACACGAAATAAAACCAGGGAAACGTTTACGCGTTAACGTCTCTGTTGCGAACACTCGTTTATTTGTTGGAAATATTCCTAAAAGCAAAGGAAAAGAGGAAATTATGGAAGAATTATGCAAACCTGCAGGTATTACAAAAGGCCGAATCTCGCATTTCTGATTGACTTTCACTGACTTTCAACTGTAAAAAATTAACTCATATTGGGGTCCCTTAAAAAGTGGTTTCACCTCCGCAGTTTTGTAATGAAAATATTTACTTAGGGGTAGAAGGAATCTCGGATGTTATTGTCTATGCGAATCCCGATGACCCTGCAAAGAAGAAAAACCGCGGATTCTGCTTCCTAGAATTCAGTGATCACAAGTCGGCTTCGCAAGCCAAACGGAAATTATCCAACAGTCGCTTGAGACCGTGGAACGCAGAGCTCGTTATAGAATGGGCTGAACCTCAGGAAGAGCCGGATGAAGAGACAATGAATAAGGTACTTAAAGACATATATAATTGTATACACAGATGTGACTCAAAGGTTTTCTGTCTTTTTCATTTACAGGTAAAGGTGCTGTACGTACGGCCGGTAAAAGACAGCTTCACAGAGGAAAAGATAAAGGAAGAGTTTCAAAAGTTCGGTGAAGTAGAACGAGTTAAGAAAGTGAAGGACTACGCCTTTGTTCACTTTACTGAAAGGGAAAATGCGATGAAGGTGAGCACCAAGCAAAGCGACAGGTAACGGATGGTGTGCAAGTGGGATCTTTCAGGCAATGACTGCACTAAAAGGGAACGAACTGGACGGCGTCACTGTGGAGGTGTCCCTCGCTAAACCTCAGTCCGAGAAGAAACGCAAAGATCAAACTCGTCAACGGCCGAGTGGCAGCCAGTTGAGCCGCGGTGGAGGTCGTTCATCGTCGAACAAATTTTATGGCTCTTCAGCAGGACGAAAGGGAGGTGCAATGGGCTACGGCAGAGATGCACCCCCTCTCATGTCCAGTAAGATATCATTTTTTCGACTAGTTGCAATATCATTCAATATTTAAACTAGTTTAATTTTAAATATGGTCGCTCCATGAGGTTACCGATTGTAATGATTATGGTTGTAGGCTCAAAGAGCATTTTCTGTTCGATATATTATAATAGGTAGGAATAAACCAATAAACGACCGGCCAGTTCTTTCGATACTGCCAAATGAGGTCCTGTTAACTTGTGG